ATTTCATATTTTAAAAAATAATAAACATGTAAAGCGTCTACCTTATAATCATGATTAAATAAATTAAAATTAATAAATGTTGTTTTGTCTTATATTCTTGTTGCACAAAGACACCTCAATTTAGAGAAATTAAACTTTTTCAATGTCATTACTTACAGTATCAATTCTACTACTACATTTTCGGTACATCATTAAAAATTTAACAGTGGGGGGGGGGGGCAACCAGGCTTTCAATTAACATTTTATATAGTATAAGTAAGGTTGGGGAAAAAATGGGGGGGGCAGCCCCCCCCCCCCCCCCCCTGGGGTCCCTGTTGCTACGCCCCTGTTCATTCGGAGTTCAAATGTTTTAAGCATTATCTGCAAATTAATTCTTTAAGCCATGCTGAACTTTGTCTTTCATAAAAACTCGATCAGCATTAATTAAATGTCTCTTAACAGATCAATTATCATGCTAATAACTCAATCATCACTCAACTTAGAATCTCGTTGCAGTTATCAGTGTGGAATAATATATTGTTTAACCTGCCATCAAATTATGGATTAAATATTATTAAATATGCTCAAAAATTATTTTTTTGTTTTGGTTGAAAAAAAAATCTTTATAAGTTCAGGGTCGGGTTTTATTTCTACTTGTAAATGCTAAAAGAAAATAAAATTCAATGCTGAAAATACATGACATAAAACCGCAACAATATGCTTGCATTTTGTTTTATTTTGGCTGCAGTGCAGGGGATGGGGGTGAGGGCGTCCTTATATATTTCCGTAACATGTAGGCTTTACATGGCTTAGCATATCCAAGCTTCTGGCACCAGGCACGTAGCATCGTTTTTGAAAGTAGGGGGGGGGGCAGCCAGAGAATTTTTTTTACTTCTCTGAACAAGTTGACAAGCAAACAAAAAGGTTAATGTTGCACAAAGTCGAAAATCCTATTTCGTGGGGAGGGGGGTTAGAGGCCAACTTTTTTCAGTACCAATTTTTATACGACGTTTATCATACATCACTAATAGGAGGCGGGAGGGGGGGGCAACCAGACTTTCAATTATCAATTCCTATAGGATAAGTAAGGTGGAAAAAAAAGTGAAGGGCAAGACCCCCTGCCCCCCCCCCCACTCCCCCCAGTTGCTATGTCCCTGGGCACGGGACCAGAATGGAATTCATACTCTTTAAAACTCACTTTATAGAAAAAAAAAATTAGAAAACAACATTAGAATGAAGGGGATTTTTTTTAATTAGGTCATAAATAATATGATAATTTTCTAAGATGTTTACATCCCTACAAAAATCTGACATTTCAAAGCTCAGCCACTTCACAGACAATTGTCAGTAAATATATTATACAAAACAGTCATATTCAACTGACTGTATATTTAGGCATAAACAATTACATGTTACTAATCTTTAACCCAACCCTACCCCAACAAAAGCTATACATATAAACCGTAAATCGCATCTTTAATTTAATTCTATGTGTGTGCTTCTAAAACCATCCATTTCATAAAATAAAACCAGATTTTTTAATTTTAGGGTATCATTATATACATGATTAACAATACTGAATTCATAGCAATTCAGCTCCAGGCTCATAGTGTTTATGATAGCTGTGCGATGGCAATGCTGATAATTAAAGGTACAAAAATATAAAATGAAGAATAAGAGGCAGCATTGTTTCAAACCTAAATAAAAAGTGAATCTGCAAGTTGTTGGGTTAATGGTACTGGGTGCACCTTAAACTTTTGAAGTAAATAAAAAAAATAATTTTTTTATTTATTTTAACTCGTATTCACAAGAATTGTATGTTTCTGCCATTTAGATTTTTTACCCCCCCCCCTTTCACCAACATACACAAAATCCTACAAATGTTAATCCTGTGTTTATCTATTGTGTAAATGATTGCGGATTATAAATCATTCATTTGTTTGTAAAATTTCCACCTGTTTGATTGGTTACTATTAAAATATTTCTACTGCTAGACTGAAAAATATTTCGTGTATCCTTTATATTTTCAAAAAAGCAGTGTCATTATTGGCCCAATGCAGACAGACAACCTTATAGATGCAGTGAATCAACCGAATTTCCTTTTTATTTACTGTCTATTGTGTATCGTTATTACATGTTACATGTACCACACTTCACAATTTTTCTGTCTTTATTTAAAATTTAGAAAGAAAGAACAATCAAATAAATTTTCACTTCGCAGTAGCATTTAGGTAGCGTAATGTTGTAATTTTTAAAATTTTCACATATATGGTAACTAAAGATATATCGTTTATGCTGAAATCTAGACCTATCGAGAGCAATGTTTAAATTAAAATAATTTTCAAATGAATTCTAAAGGCTTATCAAATGACTCTTGCATGGATTACCAGTAAATATTTTGTTTGAGAAAATAATTGTTTCAAAAAAAAAAAAAAATTAATGGATGTTGCCCGCTGTTCAGGTTTCCCCCTGGTGTCATAGAAAAGTCAAATGTAAAACAAACACTCACTCGTAATACAATACACCACTGATGAATCCATTATATATATAAAACTATCAAATAATTATTAATAATTAAAAGAGACAATGAGATGAAAAAATGTGCATGGATTCGAAAAATATCAAATATTATACAACTTTTAATCACCGTAGTAAAATTACAGAAGAAAATCATTTAACGTTCACTCTGAAAACGTTTGACGTTGTTGAAAAACATGACGTCATTATTAACCTGTTAAAGTATATTTGATAAAAATGAAGAAAAAACCTACTTAGAGTAGACGTACGACTATAAAAATTCATATTTGATAACTTCTAACCTTACTCTATCAGAATCCGTGAAAAACTCAAAATGCATAAAAATTGCCATAAGGACCCTTTTCACATGGGCGCAATCATATAAGTAGTCGTGAAATTTGTCACATAATGCCCATTTTAAACATAAAAATTCCAATTTGTGGGCAGGATAATTTTGCTCACTTGACCGTAGTCCTCTACTGGCATAGGCAATTACTCTATCTAAACCTCCTTGATTTTGGTATAATACTGCCCCTAAACCTTCCTTTGAAGCATCAATATTAACACTAAATGGCTTTGAAAAGTCTGCAAAGGCTAATATTGGAGGTGAGGTAAGTTTCTCTATCAATGTTTCAAATGACTGTTGTTCTTTCTTACCCCATACCCAAGGAGTCTTCTTTTTCTTACTTGTCTTGGACTTCTTATTAGTCGGATGTCCACCTAATAAGTCATTAAGAGGTCTTACTAATCTGGCATAATCTTTGACAAATCTTCGGTAGTAGCCTGTAAATCCTAGAAAAGAACGTAGAGATTTTATATCTTTAGGAACTGGCCATGTTTTTAATGCTAAAATTTTGTCGGGATCTGTATGTATTCCCTTCTCTGATACAACATGTCCTAAATACTTCACTTCAGACATGAAAAATTCACATTTTGAAGGTTTCAACTTTAAATTGTGTTTTTCTAGTCTCTTAAATACACCTTCTAATCTTTCTAAATGTTCTTCAAATGTCGAAGAAAAAACAAGGATGTCATCTAAAAATATTAAACACTGTTTTAAATTCATTTCCCCCATACAATTCTCCATTAACCGCTGAAATGTGGCGGGAGCATTTGTTAAACCAAAAGCCATGCGGTTACACTCATAAAATCCAAGGGGACCTAATGAAAACGCTGTTTTGTGTTTATCTTCTTCCTTGATTTCTACCTGCCAGTATCCTGACCTAAGATCTAACTTTGTAAAGTACTTACTACCAATAAGAGTGTCTATGGTTTCCTCAACTCTTGGGAGATTGTAAGCGTCCTTGATGGTTTTGTTATTGAACTTTCTTAAATCAATACAAAATCTTAAAGAACCATCTGACTTTCTAGCAAGTACAACATTTGAACAATATGGACTTTTTGATTCTCTTATGGCATCTGCCTCTAACATTTCTTTAAGGTGTTGTCTTACCTCTTTATACATTCCTGGAGGTATTCGTCTATAGGGTTCCTTAAATGGAGTATTATCTGATAAGATAATTTCATGCTCCACTAAGTCTGTTCTACCTATATCTTTCAAAGAAGTAGAGAAAATATGTTTCCATTTGTTCAAAAATTGGTGACAACTCTCAACTTGATCAGGGGATAATTTGTTTTCATTAATTTTCACCCCTAATTCTAATAGGTCTAGTTCTGATTTATCCCTAGAATCATTTGATGTTGAAGGTTCCCAAGCATCTACTACTTTTACAGAACTTAATTTACAAATAAGGGACTTTGGTGACACTTTGATTGGTCGTGCTGACATGTTACATACCCTTATCGGAATTCTTGAGGTCTTCCCATTTTTGAGTGATACTACTCTTGGACATACTAAAAGACTGTTGTTATTTGATTGGTTTTCAATTTGTTCTGTAATAGCGGCACTTACCTGCATGCTGTTGCAAGACTTGGCTATTCCTGAAATAGTTTTTACCTCATAAGGACCTACTGTAATTGAATATTTGTTAGTGGTCTTTACAGGAATATCATTGTTTACACTAAGATTTGCAAATGCTAATTTCCATTCTTCTGGAACATCTGTATGTTCTGAGTTTGCATAATCTTTACACAACCGTATTACATTTGTACCCACAATAACAGGAACTTTACTGTTGTATTCAGTTCCTTTTGTGACAAGAACTGGTACATAAAAAGGATTCAAGGACAAAAATGGAATTTGTAATTCAACTTCAATATATCCTGAAAATGGTAAAGAATTGCCTTCTGCACTATAAACTTTGAGTTCAAAGTCTTCTATATTATGCAACTCTGGTTTGTTTTGTAAAGATTGGTAAAAATTTTCAGACATACAAGTGACCATTGATCCAGTATCAATCAAAGCTTTTGTTTCTACACTATTTACAAATATGACACTTTCATTCTGATGTCCAACCATTCTTGATAACAAATTTTTAGATTCAGAATTTGTGTTTCTAATAACAGGGCTTTCCTGAACCTTGTTTTCCTCCTCCATCTGCCCTTCAATAGAAGAGGTTAGTATTTTTTTGAATTCTGTCCAACTTGGGATGGTTTATATTGATTTGACCCTGACTCTGACCTTGGCTTTGACCTTGGTTTTGACCTTGAATTTGACCTTGACTTTGACCACGACCTCGACCAAAACCTCTGTTTGAGTAGTTGAATCTACCCCTTGTAAATGTACCTCTATTTGAATAAAAACTTTGTTGTCTCTGTGTATTAATTTCTAAGTCATAAACTCTTTTGTTCAATTGTTGGAAACTTTTTGTATTACTGTCAATTTTCTGTTCTAACCTTTCCATTGTTCTTACTATTGTCTGTAATTCTTTCTGCAGGTCTGATGATGGTGTAGTCTCTGCTCTCTCTGCTTGTTGGAATGCCTGTCTTGCTTGCTTTGTTGTCCCTGTACTCCTTTGAGATGTTATCTCCTCTTGCACTTTTCTGATTTCCCTAAGTAAAGATTCAAAATTTTTAATAGAGTCAAACAGATGTCTTGTGCTTTGTTTTAATTGTTGACTACCTAAACCGGTCCAAAATTTGCTTCTTAACATCCCATCTCTGGCTTCGTTCCCAATGTGACCAAATTTGATCGCTTTTGATAATGTGTCCTCTAATCTCGAAGCATATACAACAATGGATTCCCCCTCTTTTTGACAATCATTGTAGAATGACTGCATCAGCTTTTCGCCTGAGGCGACATTGCCAAAAAATCCATCTAATTTTCTCAAAATGTCTTGGATAGATGCTTTATCTCCAACTGATACTAACATACTTCTAGCTAAACCTTTCAGAGAATTTCTGACGGCTTGAAGTAGAATATGTTCTGGGTACTGATTTGAATTTAGTAAGCACTTTACTTCAAAATTCCAAACCTCATACCTAACTTCCCCTTTCTGTGGCTCATCTGTTCCACTAAATGTTGGTAATTTAGGGGTGGGATATTGATTACCTTGAAACATGGAGACATTACCAAGGTTTTTGGAATCACCCATTGTATTGAGTAACTTTGACATTGGAGAAAATGGATGCCAACCTGGACTTTTAAAAGGAGTACTTGTCTTTTGCTCTTGTTTAAGACCTGCATTTACTAATATTTTATATTCCTCTTTTGTTAGAACCTTATAGTTTGGATCTTTGTTTACTTCATCTATGTGCTGTTTAATAGAAATTTCTTCCCCTTCTTCACCTGTACCATCACCATTACCTTTATCGTTTCCAGTAGCCATAATCTAAGATTGATAAAACTAATGACTACTTAATTTTATACAATATACAAGTAACAACTGCACAGGTATGTTTATATGATTGGGTCAGTCCCTTCCAATATTGACCTAGCAGTGAGACATGTATATGTATATCTGACAATAAAATCTATGGTACAATTTATATGAAACAGGGATATTTTCTGTGATTGGGTCTGTCCCTACCAACAGAGACGAACCTGCCTCGGAATAATGCACCAATAAAACATAACAGTATCTAAGTAAACATTATGATGAATTAATAAAAATGTATTCAATCAGTCTTTTCAACCATACTCTTCCTAACAAAGAGCCTGGATGAACTCCATCTATGTACAACTGAAAATTGTATGAAATACGTTGGCACTTGCCTTTTTCTTTCCTGTATTTCAATAAATCAAGTTTAAATCTAGGCCCAGAAACAAGATGAGTAGAATTTACATTCCTGATGTAATCATTCAGGATGCCAATGATTTCATTCAAAGTTTTGTCTTGATCTTTGAAATTTTCAGGATTACTGTGAAATTTTGTTTTATTCCATTCCACAATTGAATATGGAGGAATGTCCAAAAGTACAGGTGTAACCTCTTTGAACTGATTGATAAAAGATACAAACAATTCAATAAAATGAATGATATTTTGTACACACAAAGCAGAATTTACGTACCTTAAATCAATACATTTTCCAGACTTCTGGGTAATATCGCAAGTTCCCAGCCAAATATAAAGCGTAATCTGGCCGTATTGCTGTACAAGACCCGGTAAATTTCTTTTCAGCCACGGATAGAAATCGGCGAAACGAGCTCCTGGTCTACATTCAAATTGCACAAATAATCTATTATGTTTCAACAAATCTAAATGTTTCTTTAAATAATAACCCTTACTATCACTAATTAATATTGATCTACTAAATACAGACTTGGATATGATTGGTCTTTCTAAATACTTCAATAATTTGCTGTTGCTCATATATACCTAGATGAACAAAGGAAAATTTACAATTAAATACAAATAAACTAAATAATGAAAAATATGAAAATAAACAATGCTTTCACTTCTTCTTTTCCTGCAAAAATTGGAATACCTGCAACAAATTATTAAGTAAAGATCACGCTAAAGTAATCAGATAAATCAGCTGGCAATAGGTACTGTACCCTATAACAAGTAGCACCTGCAAAACACAAAAATTCAATTAGACTGGTTAATGTTTGATGACAGATTTGTATGATATGATTTGATGATGATATAAGCTGAGATATGAACTGAATATGACACCTAATTTTAGTACCAGGTTCTCCTGACAACAGCTATACTCTATTTCTCACCTCGCACCTGCTAACTGGAATTTCCTCTATCTTTCAAAACACAATCGTGATTAAGTACCTGTTGTTAGTAGTGCATCTTGTTAAGAAACATGCAGGGATGTTATGAATGTCAATAACTGTATTGCTATAAATTACTTACTTTAACTGTTTAAGTGATACTATTAACTTTTAGAAATTTTACACACTCGTCATGCAACGTTCATACCATGCACATGAAAATAAACAATATATCACAGAATGCAATTTAAACAAACACAATGAAAATATTAAGATTAAGAGTTAAATAAAGTCACAGAATCCGTGGAAAACAGTCATTGGTCCAGTGTCGTCCAGAAAACGAGTTCCAGCGGTGAAGATCCTCGGATATCCAGCGAAAACGAAAGTAACCTAGGTTCATGTGTCTGTGACGTCACAAATATGTAGATTAAGTGCACGGGGCATAACGGTACATTCTCCGAAGAAGTTAGGCCTCTGAGTAAAACTCACAAACACAAAACACAGTGTTGAAATGGTGAATTCACATAATGAATGATAATAAAAGAAGAATGAATAAATGGATTGATGATTTTTCCACCGTTAAGATCGAATCACCTTATAAATATAGATTCTTTTGTAATTGAAATCACACGGTTGGGCGCCATTGTCACAGCCGTATTTTATCTAAAACTCCATTAATAGACAACAATAACACAGCTGGTGGGTTCTTTTCTTTATCTATGATGTATCAATTACTATTGATGATGGATATTACAAGAATAATAATTAAAGGTGACCTGTAAATATAAATGAATACACTCATACACTTACACTCACACATTTAATTCTTTTAGATTACTTTAACTGTTCCGATTAATTAGATAATTAATTGATAAGGTGTTTAATACATTCAGAGCAACAGTGGTAAATTAATTCTTACCGATTAGACAGATATTACATCGTCTTCATTAATCATAAATGAGAGACTTTATATTTGGAGAGGAGATAAATTCATCCTTCCTCCTGGCTGTCTTAGGGTGGAGTGAGTTATTAAGGGTGTTTGGCGCCAAGCATGCGTATTTGGTACCAAACTAGTAAAACCACTCACACACTTCTCACACTGAAATATCAACCAATCATATACCTTCAAACCGCACCCATTCTGACACAAACACCTTTGACCTTTCACACTCTCAAACCAACCAATGAGCATTCAACCCCATGAATATCAATGAATGACTTTATGAATGACTGAACACATAGTAAATTCCAGAGTACTGTAATTCACTATGCTGTATAATAGATGAAAATGATGATGATGGAAATGAAATTATTAATATATTATGTCACAAATTATTAATGAATAAATTATATAGTATTTATTATAATAATAATTTATTCACCCTGTGACATACAGATAAAAATGAATTTTAGAATATGTTTTAATTAGAAAAGTACATGTATGCCAAGCCAGGTGAATTTTATCAGGAAAAGCAAAATCATAGAAAATTTCATATATGATATTGATGAAATTTTGTCATTTTGTTTTTCTTCCTGAAAATCACCTGGATTGGTATATTTTTCTCAGGTTTATATTACACTTTTAGCACCAAGATAACATATTCTGGAATTTGTTTTTATCACTAAACCTTTACTTAATGTGATTTGTCTATTTTTGTTTTTTAAATGAAATATTGCTAATATTTCTAATAAGTCTTGTATATTTGTCAAGTTCTAAGAATAAAAAATTCTAATGATTATCCACTTTTCTAAACTTGTGACATGTTATTAAGTCACTTCCGAAGAAAAGATTTGCTTTTATCATCTGTCCTTAAGCAGTTTGAAGTTTGAAAACTAGGTTAAGAAACCTTAACGTTATATTGATGTAAATTTCAGGGTGATCCATGAGCTTTTCGACTGTGTTGCTCCTCACACAGGAACATTTTCTCCAAAACTGTCACGATTCAAATTTCATGCATGCAACAAAGTAAAAATCTTGCCGACACAGAAAGATCTGTGATCATTTGAAAATCTTAACGCACAAATTCTTCTATAATTTTGATTTTTATTGAAACATTATATCGTCTTTCAATTATAAAAGTCAAAGCACTTAAACAGCAGGGCTTGAACTTGCATAATCAATTATCTCCTAGACCCTCATTGGAATTTACACATGACGGAACAAAGACAAATAATTTGTTTTCACACTTCCATGTAAGGGTGAATTGGTAGTTGTAATAAGATACATTGTATTATTTTAAAAAAAATATATTTAAATCTGTCTTTTCTTTAGAGTCACGAATAATTTTAGCACTATAAGTCAGACATCGTATCATCGTTACATCGTATCGAATAAGGATATGGAAATGTCACTGAAAGGTCACTGAAAAGACCCTTTCCCGTGACCTTTCCGTGATCATTCACTTACCATTTAGTCGATTGATTGGCACATACATTTCAGTGACCATTCCGTGATCATTTAAGTTGAATGTTTTTATTGAATAATCGGCTTATTTTTTTACCTAAAAATTTTATTTTACTTTTTCCTGGTATAAAAGCATTAAATGTATCTAATTCCAAATAAAAAACAAAAGGCCCAGGGGCCACAGCGCTCACCTGAGCACATCAGACTTGAATTTACTCCCCCGCCCCCTACAGGCTGTCATGAGGATGATTCTATATAAAAATCACTAATCATAGCTTTGAAGTACTTGAAAGAAGATTTTAAAAGGTTTCCCTATACATCCTTATGTAAAACTTGGGTCGGCTATTTTGTCCCCACCATAGCCCCGGGGGTCATGATTTGAACAAACTTGAATCTGCACTACCTGATGATTATTCCACATGTATTTCATCTTTCTTGGACCAATGGTTCTGGAGAAGAAGATTTTTCCTATATATTCCTATGTAAAACTTGGGTCGGCTATTTTGGCCCCATCCTTGCCCAAGGGTCATGATTTGAACAAACTTCAATCTACACTACCTGAGGATGATTCCACATGAGTTTCATCTTTCCTGGCCCAGTGGTTCAAGAGAAGAAGAATTTTAAAGATTTGTCCTATATATTCCTATGTAAAAGTTGGGTCAGCCTCTAGTAAATAACTTTAGACTAATTTTTGGTGCTAGATCCATTATAACGTCATAATCAATTTTCCGTACTTTACGGCTTAAGCAAAATTATGTAGAAAACAGGTTATTTTCATGACATTCAATTTGAAATCATATGAAAAGTAAACAGGATACCTATATTAAATTGTATGTTGGTTTAAAGAAGAGGCCATGAACATACTAATTACCGTTTTCTGAGAAACTGTAGGAAATCTTGATACATTTTCTTTTTCGAATATGAAAAAAAATCCCATATTCATAACTGATTTTTCCAATTTTTAATTGAAAATGACATGTTTAAATACAGTGTTTCATCTTGTTTGACCAAACTAAAGTTGTAAAGCATCAATGAAGGAATCTATTTCTCAAGTTTGATAAATCTGTAGGCACACTTCATTTACTACATCTTGACATTAAGTAAATGCTCTTAGACTGACGTCTTGGTGCTAGATCCATTATGACGTCATAATCACTTTGAACTTTTTTTCCCGTACTTTACAGCTCTAATAGAATTCTGTAGAAAATAAAGCATTTTCATGAAATTCAATTTGAAATCACATGAAAAGTAGTCCAGAT